GGGGGTGAATTTGTATCCGATTGGCTTCTGACTGATGGGGTTGATCTTGTTCGGATTGATCATTTTGACTGTGCGGTTGAGGTCCGGTGCGGCGTCGAAGTAGCATGCGCGCTCGACGGTCTCAGAGGTGACCTTGTAGAAGTTCCCATTGGGGTTCGTGGCCTCGTTCATGGGGACGGGGTGGGATTCCTCGACCTGGACGGAGTTTCTGTCTCCGTCGATTGCGGGGTCGATGCGCACGCAGAAGATGTGCTGGTGGTTCTGCGCGAGGACGCCGCCGCTGACGACGTTGCCGTACTCGCTTACCTTGCCGGCGTCGATGTTGACGACATTAAGGATCCCCGTTGCGCGGGCTTCGACGGTGATGCCTGCGGACTGGTCGAATTTGTAGGCGAAGACGTACTCGTAGTTTGCAAGCGTGATGATGAACTGCACGACTAGTTCGCGGTTTCGGGTTACCACGGCGCGGCCGGTGCGCCAGTTCGAGTGCTTCCAGCCAATGCCGTTGTCCTGCTCGTGAAGGCAAATGGCGTTGGGGAGCTTCTGTGCTGTGCCGTCGGGGCCGGTGACAATGGCGTCGAAGTACTTAATCACGCCAAGGCAGTCGCAGCCGATGGATAGGTTGTTGGCCATGTTACCGCCGCCGCCGTCGCCAAAGTCGAAGGCTTGCTTGCGGTGGAAGGGCGGGCGGGGGTCGGCATAGGGGACGGTCTATACATGTTAGATTTGTTTGGCTCACTCCGAGGGGCACTCACCATCTCACTGATACCCAGGCGATGCATGACGCTTCGACCATCGTACCATATATCATGAATAGTAGCTCCTTCACGAGGATTAAACGCGACACGGAACCGCCACTTTTGCCACTCAACAAGCGACTCATTCGTAATTCGGAACGAGGGGCCTTCGGGCTGTACCACATTGAGTGGCTTCAAGTCCTTCCGAGTGCCCTCAGGGAGTAGCTCAGGCACATAGTCAGATCCCTTGCAGTGTCCGATAATATCACGCTTGAAGGTCTGCTCTCGTAGGCCATCTCCCTTACCTCCTGTAGCCGGGCGGTCGACCCGAATAATCTCCTGTGTATGTGCGTCCATGATTGGAATGAGAGGGAGAGGGAATGAGTAAAAGTTGGCATCGGGGTTTTTCTTCGTTGCGTCCTGCGCAAAGCACAACCCCTGGAAGAACCGTCTGTTGGGTTCAGCAAGGTCTAATCCACCATATGGCCACGGCTCAATAACGACTTCGAAGCCCTCGGGCAGATCGAATTCCGCGAGGGCTGCCTTGAACAGTGGGGAGGCGAAGCAGCGTTCTACTAACACGTCGAATTCGCTCCTGTATATCGTTAGTGAGCTATAAATAATCAAGGTTTGGAGGCATACAAAGTCAACGCAGCATGATGCTCCTTGCCCACGACAGTATGCTTCACCGACTTCTTCGCCGCGACATCGACCACGGTCTCTTCGTACGACGGCACCCGGTCGGAACCAATGACATCGTATTGGCAAAGGGCTAATCGAGGCGGACGTGGAGTTGTCGGGCTCAGACGACCGGAATGTTCAAGCGCAAGGAACTCAAGAAGCTGTTCTTTCGGCGGTTCTTGAAGAAAGATCTCCCGAAAGTCGATGACGGTGTTGGGGTGTTGAGCGATGACAATGTCACGAGCGAGGTTGATCTCCTCCTCGGAGAGAATGGCAAGGGGGTGAGGGGCCATGATTGCAATTTTAGAAGAGTGATTGAGTAGGGATGTCTGTCAATGAGGGGTAGCAGTCGTTATGTATGTGAGTTGAGGCGTAACACTTGCCATCTTCGGTCGGACAGCCTGCTCGGAACGGTCGGAAAATGCGGAATGCTTCCGACTCCCCAGCTCCAGGCGCCCAGAATCACAGTGCCTCGCCCATTCGGCTGGACTTGCTATTTTCGGAGCGAAATGCGCCATGGACAACTGATAAGAATGGCATGATGCGGGGGAGCTTGCTCTTATCAACAGTCGGCTTGTTGGAGGCCTGAAGCCGCTGCCAGCTGGTCCTTATGTCGGTCACCCTTGCTTGGGCCATGATGCCGAGTAGCTGGAATCCCAGACTCGTGCAATCAAAAAGTACAAATGGAAATCATTCTTCTCTCCCGTCTTTTCTGATGCGAAATGCCATTTCTTCCCACCTTGAGAGTGATCGGATTTTGGACTTGAAGCTTCAGAAGATATCCTTAAAAAGTCGCTCTCGATGAAACATGTTGTCTATCAGGGCCCTCCAACATCTGCTATTCGTACTCCGAACTGAAACCATCAACCTCGATCTTCTGTGCACTTCTTTTCGTGGAGTGAGAGCACGTGAGCTCGTATGGATATCTCCCCAACCTCGGAGTTAACACTCTCCGCGCTCCGACTTGGAGAAAGTCGCCGACAACTTGTATTCCATCCACCAGAGCGACATGACGGAGGCCGAAGTGAGTTGTGCACAACCATGGAACACGCATATTTCGTGGTGTGTTTCGATTCGACTGAGCGATCTCCGGTTGAGCGAATCCAAGCGCAGACCGTTGGAGACGTGGTGATGACGGCAGCGGCAGCAGCCTGACAGGTAACACGCCAACTTAAGTTGCAGGGGCCGCAGCAAGGAACCAGCCCACCGAAGCCCCCGGTTATTGGTCGCGTCAGGCTGGACTTATCTGATGAATCTGTCGAATCCCGCCGGGATCCGTTGATTTGGAGCCAGATTAACATCATGATTAGAAATGCTGTCAGCAAGTTCCCCAATTCCAAACAAAAAAAAACCCCTTGGGAACCCACCGAGGGAGCTAAGCCAAATATCCTTCGCTTTCGCTTTCAGCGTCATTGACCCCAGAAACTTCCCGACTGCATCCCCCCAACCCCAGATGGGTACCACCAGCGGTTTATCATTCTTATCCCCATTTTCTATTGTTTAAGCAGTCGGAAAGCATTCGCAATGACTGCACGCCAAAACTCCGACCCGGGGCCAGCCCTCGAAGAAGCCATGCCCGATCATGAGCAGACTCCTCTGCTCCCGCGCGAGTCTGCAACGGAGACGGCCACGACGCCGCTGTCTTACCGGAGAGGAATGACCATTCTTCTCTCCATGGGGGCTCTGATCTTCATTCAGGGTAAATATTGCTATCGCATGCTAGGAATATCCGCTAACTCCACTAGCGATCAACATGTCGATGATGACCACGGCACAATCCGAGATCGCGGCAGATCTAGATGCGTTCGGAGAGACCACATGGTTTAACTCGGCATTTATGGTATAGAAATGCCCGCATTCATTCATCGCACCACGGCTAACGTTCTCAGATTGCTGCCTCCAGTGTCACCCCTCTTGCCGGACGATTGAGCCAGATCTTCACTCCTCGCATCTACGTTCTTTTCTCATGCGTATTACTATCAATTGGCCTCTTCATCACCGCTGGCGCTCCAAAGCTGTCTGTCTTCCTAGTGGGTCGAGCGTTTAGCGGTGTCGGTGCTGGCGGCCTGATGATTACTGGTATCATCCTGACATTGGACCTGGTTAACAAGAAGCGCCGGGGCGTGTTCATTGGTATTGTCAATTTTGGAATGACCATTGGTGTCTCGTTGGGAGCTGTTCTAGCTGGCGCCGTAACTCCAACTCTTGGATGGGTACGTCGCCTTATACAATTGATGTGCTTGTCTAATCTTCATCTAGCGACCTATCTTCTGGGTCCAGGCACCGATAGCCTTGGTCCTAGGTCCGGTTCTATTCTTCGCCATACCATCACACCATAATCACGAAGTTGGCGATCTAAAGACCGATTCTCTGCGAGAGAAACTCAAAAATGTCGACTACGCCGGAGCATTCTTTTTGGCACTTTCAATATTCCTCCTACTGTTTAGTCTCGCCTCGCCAGTGATTCCAATCACACCCATCATCTTTAGCGTAGTATTCTTCGTTCTTTTTTGGATCATCGAGTCGCGATTCGCATCTGAACCCATCGTCCCGACAGAAGTGCTGAAGACCCGAAGCGTCCTGCTCACCTGCCTAGCCGCTCTTTCAGCAATGACCGCCCGCTGGGCCGTCCTCTTCTACTCACCAATCTATGCAATGGCCGTCCGGGGCTGGTCCTCCGCCTCTGCGGGTTTGATCCTTGTCCCCACGAATGCAGGTTTCGGAATTGGAGGGCTCCTCGTCGGATGGCTGCACATTCGCCATGGCGAGAGCTACTACCTGTAAGTGCTCTATCACCTTCCTACAATCGAGTCAGTAATAACGATGGCAGATCTAACGTCCTCGTCTACGCCCTCTTCGCCCTCTCCACCCTCCTCCTCTTCACCCTCGCAACGCCCACCTCTCACACAGCCGCCTACGTCGTCGCCATGTTCCTCAACGGCTCCATGATCGGCGCCTCGATGAACTACACCTTTATCCACATCCTGCACCTGACAAAGCCCTCAGTACACTACATCGTGACAGCCCTCGTCGGAATGTCCCGGGGGTTTGCAGGAAGTTTCGGCTCAGCAATGGGCGGAGGCTTCTTCCAGCGGGAACTCAAAGCGGGGCTGGAAGACGGGTTCGCGAAGCATGGACTCACAGGCAAGGAGGGACTCATCCATAAGCTCTTGGGGAGTCCCGCGCTCGTTGCGAAGCTGAGTGGTGCGGAGAAGGAGGTTGCGGTGCAGAGTTATCAGAGGGCGATTCAGAGTTTGTTGCTCGGCGGGTTTGGGATTTTGCTTGTGGCGGCGATTGCGCAGGCGGGGACCGGGTGGATGGCGCCGCCGCCTGAGGAGACACGGGGGAGAGAAGGCGAGGGGGAGAGAAGGGAGGATTGATATCAAGATGATGTTGAGGGGATTGCATTTTGGTGTTTTGGTTTACCGTCGAATTGGATAGAGATCTTTTTTGGGTTTCATGTCAGGAATACGGAACATGTATCTCATCAGCACACAAAAACTCAATGCCACCTTGCTGCGCTCTGCACCAAGTCACTGCGACATGAAGAAGCGCTCCCAAAACGCAAAAAGAAGGAACACTCGACAAGACTGAGGTTCGAACTCAGGACCCCGAAGGGATTAGCTTTCAAGGCTAACGCCTTAACCACTCGGCCATCTTGCCCGATTGAGCTTTAACTGACGATTCGTGCCGCCAAGGGGTATGGACATTAAGTCATCGGTGGGCATAAAGTACAGCAGATACCTAGTAGATGGTGGACGTAAAAAGAACAAAAAAAAAACTCGACAAGACTGAGATTCGAACTCAGGACCCCGAAGGGATTAGCTTTCTAAACTAACGCCTTAACCGCTCGGCCATCTTGCCCGATTGGGTGTTCAAAGAATGTTAGTGCCGTTAGGAGTGATTGCCATGGAGTCGTGGGTGGAGATATAAAAAAAAAAGAGTGATGTGGATACGCCCCATAGTAGCTCAGCGACCCCCAGGGAAAAGGAGAAAAAAGAACAAAAATAAATCGACAAGACTGAGATTCGAACTCAGGACCCCGAAGGGATTAGCTTTCTAAACTAACGCCTTAACCGCTCGGCCATCTTGCCCGGTTGATGTAGAGAGCCATTTTATTTGCCGCCATACTCTTTTGCCAGAAAAATAATGCTGAGATCATGTGATCCCGTGTTATGCCTTGGCGACGATAAGCTCGTCGATCTCAGATGCGAACACCCAACTCACTTTCGCCTTGCGTCTTCTTCTCTGAACCCGGCTACACTGTTGAGTCTTTACACAACAACTCAAAATGCCGCGCGCCGTCCGAGGTGCGATATCTCCCACTCCCACTACCGCGATTCCCAACGAATCTAAGCGAAGCCAAACTAACACCATCTGCTTCATTCCAGGAGTCCTAATCGAATGCGATCCGTCCGTGAAAGCCATTATCCTGAAATACGATGAAGAGCGACACGACTATATTGTCGAGGATCTCGACGATGATCGGCACTTAGTGATCAAGGAGAGTCAGTTGCAGAATCTGAAGATTAGACTGGGGAGGGTGAGTGGCTCCTTGACAACTGGATGGGTGGATCCGGGTGGACGGGCGATGTCGAGGTGGTTTGGTCTGGGGAATCTCTGTGCTAATGTGGGGATAGGAACTTGATGACAAGGTCATGCAGCCGGAGGAGTCGGAGTCCGAGTAAATGGGGACTGCGATGTGGATGATTGCAACTCAGGTGGAAGGGAATGCGCCGCCTACCGCGAGGACATTTGGGCGCAGGGTGGACTCATACGGAGTGCTTGGGTACTAGATGGCTGCTTCGGAGACTGGCTGGATGAGCGTGCCTGCGAGGTATCGCCATGGTCTATGCATGCCCTGACGGTCTTGGTTCGCAGGCATGCTATGAGGCTAGGAGAGTATTGGGAAGACCACCAGCCAAGCTTCCGTTCGGTCCAGATTCGATTGAAGGCCGTCTCTATGATCCTACGGATGGTATAACTGGATTCTCCATCTCGATTCGTCGCTCAATCTTGTCGCCCGAAGATGTTTCTAGAGCTGTTAACGAAACGAACTCCTACCACCAAAGAAACATAATCCAACGAGGTGCTCGAATATTCCAGGCGTCATGAAGCAGTCACATTCTAAATGACGAGAAAAGAAGTTTGGTCTGCCGTTTCGTCTGGCAACGCTGCTGTGGCTCGATTCGATGTTGTCACGTGACCCATCGAATGTCCGAGAAATATCCAGAGCCTCCGAGATGCTTCAAGCTCACAACAAAAGACGTTTCGCGAATCACCACGCTTTATCCAGAACATCTGAGCTGCATCACGAAAGACACTAACTTGTCATCATGGTCTCTTCTCGAAACCCATCCGAAATGCATATAAGCCCCTTCGACCACCAGCCTATCTCACCATCACATCGCAAACAAGCAAATCATCTACAACAAGCAATAGCTTAACAAGATCTCAAACAACAAGCACTTTCCAAACCTCCAACACCAACATCAACATCACTCTCAACCACTTAAACATTTTCTCAACCAACCAAACACCCACAACCAAAATGTCTCTCTTCCGCACCATCCCCACCGCCTCCGACTTCACCCCCCTCTTCCGCCTCCTGGACGACTACGACAACCACCGCTCGACCAGAGGCCAGGGCCAGCACACCTCCGTACGCTCCTTTGCACCGCGCTTCGACGTCCGCGAGACCAGCGACGCCTACCACCTCGACGGTGAACTCCCCGGCATCGCACAGAAGGACATCAACATCGAGTTCAGTGATCTGCAGACTCTCGTCGTAAAGGGCCGCTCGGAGCGCGAGTACCACTCTTCTTCCAATGTCAGCGAGAACACTAGCTCCAGCTCTACTCCCGCCGCTGAGAAGCAGCCGCAGGTTGAGGATGCGACTGAGGGCGAGGACGCCGTTGTCAAGACTGGTGGTGAGAAGCAGGTCGCCAAGAATGTTGAGAAGCCGCGCTACTGGGTTAGCGAGCGCTCTGTTGGCGAGTTCCAGCGCACGTTCAGCTTCCCGTCTCGTGTTGATCAGGATGCCGTCAAGGCTAGTCTGAAGGATGGCATTCTTTCGGTTCTTGTGCCCAAGGCGGCACCACCCAGTTCGAGGAAGATTTCGATTCAGTGAGTGGGACATCGAGCCCGCGAACAGCTAGTCCATTTCAACGAAAAGGTTTTCGACTGTGATGGATCGATTCGAATGAGGCTATGATTTGTTTTTGTTTCTGTTTTTCTTACATCCGCATGAGCATGAGCGGTGGCGGTGGTGTTTCAAGGTGTTCGATTGATCTGGTCTCTGCTTCTTGTCTTTTCAAGTCAGTTCTGTACTGTACGCAATACGCTCCTTAATTGTCTAATCAATTAATCATCAATCATCAACTTTCTCGGCTCTTCGATATCATCTAAGAAGTAGTCGACAACGTAGTAAACCCTATTCTCTATACAACAGATCACTTTTTAGGCTTCGTAATCCCACTTCTAACCTACAGGTCACCACGTCCAGCCCGGCTAGCGCATAAGCAATCGTTTCTGGCCGAGCCCGCATCGCTTATGTTGTTGTGGACAACGTTCCCTTGAATTTCATGGTGAGTAGCGTATCCGACTAACAGCTCGAGAGATCAGAGGCAGCATTGGCATCCAGAGCGCTAGAACAGTCATTTCGGTAAATCAAGGTCGCGAGGTGTGGATTGAAGGAAAACGAGAGTTGGGGAACTCTTTTGTCCCCGCGCCTCGAGGCGGCTCGCCCTCTTAAAGCGGCGCTTCCCCAGTTCAGCAACTGCAAGGCTGTCCAGCATGACTTCTCGACCAAGTCGAGGCTGTGCCCAAGCTAAGCCTTGGGCTCGCCTTCGTTTCCCTCAGTTACGTTACGACTCAATTCCCATCTCATCTTCCAGCTGACCTGTTCCAAAATCATCAAGACCAAGATGGCCGAGCCGTTATCCATAGCAGCGAGTGCCGCTGGACTCCTAGCAGTTGGGATCGAGAGCTGTAAGCTCCTCGTTGCCTACTGTGATGGACTTCAGAGTCTCGATAATGATATCAATAATCTAAAGATCAAGTCCGAGGGACTTCTGGGTACACTTCAAATCATTTGAGTCTCTCCTCGGCAAGCCCGCCTCGAGCCTATGTATCCATCCTGCAATAGCCACTGATATCGCCTTGAAGATCCTGGCAAGCGAGGAATGGATCAACGAGATACAGTCTAGAGTTGCGAAATGGTCTGTTGCCTCCCATAGTGTTGGGATAGGTAATAAGGTCCGGTTAGCCAGCAAGAGAGCCATGTATCCCTTTCGGCGAGAATCTCTGGTAGACACTCTGAGGATTCTAGAGGGATTGCAGACAAATTTACACACGTCATTTCTGGCGTAAGTCTTCTTAGTCCATATTTGGCGCCCAAACCGCGCGTTGCTGATTTACTAATTACCCACTAGGCTTCAAATCCATGACACATCCATACTGGCTAAGCAGACCGAAATGATACAGACAGTTCAGGATGTTGGGGTCGCAATGTTGACAAAAATGCAACAGTATGAGGCAAGCCTAAGTGAAATGGTACCTGATACTCTTATTGAGCCTTGAAATACATGTTGACTTTTCCATAGACGTTGACCATTGAAAACCTATCAGTCACGCCGCAGTGGCAGCAGACCTTTCATGGCGGCCATCCACTAAGAGACCTGAGCAGATGTCTTGCCCTACCGATAAAGCAATCATGTTTCTGTCCAAAGGTTGGAGGTGGGTTCCGATTGCATAGGTCTGCATGCCCCCTCTATAACCGATCAATGTACGATAATTCTCGCCTAAAGAGAATTATCGTACATTGATCGTCGCATTTACGAGTCACTTGCTAGGTCTCTCGAGCGAGGCTGCGATAACTATTTCAGCGAGGAGAGGTAGCCTCTCCATGAGCCCAGTACTTCGGCTTTGTCCAATTGTACCGCAAAATTCACCTGCGTTCAGCATTGTATCAAGACTTCATCAGCTTGCTTTTTTCACTGCCAGCCAAATCATGCCCTTCACCAAGCTCATAATCCGAGATCTACAACAAGCGTTCGATGATGGAAAGGCAAGTCCTTACGATAGAACCGCCGATGGCATGACATTACTCAGTGCAAGTACTACCGATTAAATATGGCGAACCGCATAGCTAATCGTGATAGACGGCTTGCTCATACGCCTATAGAGTCACGCAGGGAGGTCCGTTGGGCTATTTTCAGGTTATGGAATATCTCGTGAACGCTGGTTCCCCAGTAAACATCGATTCGAGGCCAAGTTACCGTGACCGCTACTATGACCTTAGCAACCCGATATTAGCCCTCACAATTGCAGGGGGGGTGGAGGCCGTTTCTCATTTTATAGACCTCGGGGCTATAGTGGTGGATGAACATTTGCTAGGCTGGAAATCAGCCATAGTACTCAAACCCTTACTGTCGCGGAAAGAAGAAGGTAAGTCGACGTACTGTCTCTTCCTTTTGTGGAATTCTAATTTTCTTTGACAGGCTTCAATTTTTCTGGTCTGGTGAATGCTGTCATGGTTGGATCTGAAAATGACCTAAAACGCCAGCTGCAGTGGAGTAAACAACATTCCAAAGAGCCAGCCATCGGCATTTATCGTTTACTTTCAATTTCCATGGTGTGGCCGGAAGGTTTGCGGATTTTACTCCAAAGCTACGCCCCGGAGCTACCAGAAGCCACAATGAGTGATCTCCTGGAAGATGCTATATTGTGTGGTGTTAAAGCGTCCGTCCAGGCACTCCTCGACTTTGCCCCTCCCATTGGTGCTACTCATCTAAGAAAATGCATCTCGGTTGATATCTGGGCAATTGTGGCGGGGTGTTTCATCACCAGGCGAAAAACCCTTCTCAGGCTCGGCTTAACAGTCCTACCGCGACATGCTCAGCAACGTCTCGGTCTACAAAAAGACTTGCTTCCCGACCAATCCGCACATGAGGTATACGCGGAGCTCGAGGCTGTTGGTGCTGATATTGATCAAACCCTCCGGCCCTGTGATAAGCGCCCTATCTTTCATCATGCTTTGCAAATCCATCAAATGGAGTCTCTGTATGAGGCCGGTTTTCGAGACATCAATGCAGTTAACGAGGATGGCTACACGCCCATGCTTTGCCTGCCTGAAGCTCCTGAAATTTTTGTTGACCATTCATCTTACGTGTTTGACAGGGCTTTGTGGTTTTTTGTCAAAGGGGCAAGCCCATACCTCCTTCAGGGAAACAGCCACACAACGCCAAAGCATATACTTTCCGCCAATATAGCATATGCGCTCTACACAGGCCCTCTGCATGATTCATGGAGTAATACCTCGGAAGCTCGCACCTCCCATCAAGATCTTCTAAGGCAGGTTTGCACAACAGATTGCAGAGATAAGTGCCATTGCTACTGCTCAATCGCTGGCTGCTCTTCGCTGTCTATGGCTTTGCGTCAAGTCTTGTCAAATGTCTGGTACAGAAAGCGGACTTTCCGGTGTCAACGCGAGATAAAGTTCTTGAAGAAGATTACCACGGAACTGCAGGGGATATCTGGGGTTTCGCAGGAGGTCATCCGACTGCTCACATTCACAGACCTCGAACTCACACATACATGTTGTCAGGCAAAGCATTGGATTCCCCTTCGTCCATGTAAATGTTCCACAAGTTTTGGCATGTTGTTTCAAGCCTTTGACAAGGACGAAGCGATAGAGATCCACGACGAAGAACGGATCCTCCTAGCCGATTTCGAAGACCTGGTCGAGCAGCTAAATGCTGACTACACATCCTCTAGCGTTTCTTTATGGGAGTTCCTTGAGACTCGCTGGAGTCAGAGAATAATGGACTATCTATCACTGAATGGAGAGACTATTCGTGTCGATTCTTTCTGCAGCGCTCTAGGGAATAGAATCGGGGAGGAGTCATGATTTTTGAGGTACCCCTGAGCCCCCGAGATGGGAAAAGGCAAAGGAGCCTAGTCCTCTGGAAGGTATATGCGGAATGGTCTATCATGTGTTCCTCGGCACAGATGGTTTTACTTTTGAACTGGGAGGAGAGGTGCTTTGAGTTCTAAGATATAAGGGAGATCGTCCACAGTCCTGTTTGTCTGCCTGCACATGCCAAAGGTTCTATCTAGCACGCATATATAAATGGGTTCTTCTTTTGTAATGTCTAGCAGAAAGACCGCCCTCCTAGTTGGCTTCTTCCGTATGTACCCTATGTCGTCGTAGTAGTCTCTATAGGGGCAATGTTCTCTGCAAGAGAGAAAAAAAGAAAGACGGCCCGAACTGGGAGTCGAACCCAGGACCTCTTCCAGACAGAGTGTGTTTCACACACCGAGAGTGACCCCGAAGGAAGAATCATACCACTAGACCATCCGGGCATGTCGTATCCACAGCGAGGACAAGCCGGTGCTGTGAGACAGCTGACCGGAGCTGGGAAGGGAATCTGGACGCGATACCCGTGACCAAGCTACCATGGTTCAGGGTATGTGTGTATAGTGCCTGGGTTCCGGAATGCCGTTGGATTTGGTTTGGAAAGGTGGCTTGCAAATCTAGGGTTGTTTCCTGTCTCCTGTCGAGGCCCGCTTGGAAGCATAAAACTTTGGGACAAGGATTGCCGTCGACCTACAAGACCTACTACTGCTACTTTCATTCTACGGGCTTCTGTCAATGATATGGTTGCAATTAAGATCGCAGTTCTTGATGCTTTGACTCACAGAGGCCTCTTCAGGGTAGCGGTTGGTCCGTTGTCGCTGACTATTTACTTGTTCTGGACGCCGCGATGCGGGCATTTCCCGGGCTGTCGATGACCATTGATAGGTCAACCTGTGTTCAATGCGTACAGTTTGGCTCGTTGGGACCTTTCATTAGGTGTAGCTTTGTATCCAATGTGCTATAGTGGCGGTATTCTCGATATACTAACCTACTTATAGACCAGGCTAGGAACGGCAAGTTCAAGTATACATTTTTGGTCGCGCCCCGTGCGCTGGGTGGATGTATATAATTAACATGTTGACGGAAAATGGAAGTTGGAATGAATATCCACCCATACAGGAGAAACCTACGGCTACAATGGGCGACAGGTTCAGGTGTAAGATTAAATGAAACATACTAAAGACATTATTTGAAAATTTCATGCAACTATCCACCATGAGTAGAAGCAGACAAGGTTCATAACTTCAAGAACCCTACCAGAGCATTGTCGCCGGATGGTCTATCCTTCTACCTCATAGTGTCAATACCGAGACAAAATTTCCATCAACCGGGCAAGATGGCCGAGCGGTTAAGGCGTTAGTTTAGAAAGCTAATCCCTTCGGGGTCCTGAGTTCGAATCTCAGTCTTGTCGATTTATTTTTTTTTCTTTTTTTTAGCATTTTGCCTTTATTGACATCTCGGATGTTTACCGATCGCTATTCGCTCATATCAACTCTAGTTTCAAACTCCCATGTACAATGAGGCTGGCAAAGTCTACAGCTTCGCAAACTTCGGCTTTCGCTTTTGAATGCCCGACAACAGCGCGTCTGAGACGTCATTTGTCTGAAGCGCAGCGCCGTTCCAGACAGTCGTGTACCGCAGACCATCCTGAACCGAATGATCCCTCGACCAATTCAAGATCTCCTTCGTGCCCTGCACGGCAACAGGACTCTTGCTCGCGATAAGCGCTCCAAGTTCAATCGCCCCCTGGATCGCCTCGCTCTTCGAGTCAAATACCCGACTCACAAACCCAACGCGCAACGCCTCCTCGGCCCCAAAGATCCTCGCCGTCAACGCAACCTCCTTCACCCACCCAAAGTTCCCAACGATCTTCGGTAACCGTGACAACGTCCCGATGTCAGCCGCAATACCAATATCCACCTCCTTGACCGCGAACTTTGCATCCTTGGCCGCAAACCGCACGTCCGCGCACGAGCTCATATCGATCCCCAGGCCTAGGGAGAACCCGTGCATGACGACGATGACGGGCTTTTCGCACTTTTCGATCGCGGAGATGCAGTCCTGGAACTCGGCTATGTGGCGGCGGAGGTGGACGGCTTTACGTGCGGGTTCCGTCTTCCCGTCGGAGTCGGAGAGCAGGCCGCCTGACGCGGCTTTGACGTCGAGGCCCGCGGTGAATGCCTTGTCGCCGGCGCCGGAGATGATCACGGCGCGGACGTTCGGGTCGTAGGAGAGTTTGTTGATGATTTGGCTGAGTTCAACCCACATCCTGTAGCAAGTAAAGCCTCGGAATCAGCACTCTTGGAGCTATGTAAGCATGGAGTTGGTGGTTTGGGGAAACGCACGCTTCGAAGAACGCATTCAGCTGTGCGGGTCGATTGATCTCGACCTGCGCGACATATTCCTGCGGGAATGTGACATTGAAGTGCTTTGCTGAGTAGTTTTCAGCCATATTGTGCGCAATATTGTAGGTTTCAGACGGTGGTGAGATTAGTGATGAGACTAAAAGATCGAGGAGCCGATGTATATCTATCGCGGTGGGTGGGTCAGCTCTGCAAGCCTCGGTTTAACGGTTATCGTTGTAGCTGGAATGCGGAGAGGTCTGGGCACAGTAGGTTTAGAACTTCAGCTGTACAGAGGCTTCCTGCGATTATGCGGCCCAAGGACTTCAGCATTCGGGTCGAGCTCCATGAACTTCACTCCGCAGCTTTGGCACGCAAACAGTTGGGCATCGCATGCGGAGAAATCGCTGCGATGAAGCTCCTCGGTCATCGGCTTCACGTGCCTCGGCGTGGTGTTACATGGTTATGATCAGTCATCCAAGATCGCTGTCGGTCCAAATTATGCAATGTGATAGCTGATTGCTGCAAAGGAGAAGGCATGAGCATAGGAGTATGGAAACTTTGCCATGATGTGTTCGGCTGTTGCTAAGGGACAAAAAAAATGAATCGACGATTCCGCAATTCGAACTTACGGGGAACAGAGAAGTAAAAAACAAAAAAGAATCGACAAGACTGAGATTCGAACTCAGGACCCCGAAGGGATTAGCTTTCTAAACTAACGCCTTAACCGCTCGGCCATCTTGCCCGGTTGTTGAAGGTTAGCGCCCAGCTAGCATTGATACGCTCCATGCATGGTCTTGGAAGTATAACGACTCTACACAACAAAGCATCCCATCAACAAGGACGGCACCAAGTTGTGATGACCTAAAGAAAGACCTCATACACCATACCAGCCCCTTCTCTTTATGAGGTCAAACAAAATAAGCGGCGAGCATCATCAAACACAAACCCAACAAAGACCATGCTGTTACAGGACCCTTTCAGTTTCCGTGTTCCTTCATTCGCATCACTCAAAGGCGACCAACACCTTATGCGCGACACAGGGAGCAATAAGAGGCATTTCATCTCTTCTTCCTCAAGCGGACTTGCAAAGATGACTTCGTATATACTCATGTACGCTTTTGACGATAACTCCAGATGCCAAAACGAAAGAGAAACCAGACCGGTAAGAGAAAGAAATCCTTCTGCGCATATACACGGTGAAGGCGTGTAGTACTAGGAATATACTAACACCATAAGTAAGCAGCGGCTGAAGGTCAACAGCCTCTACGCAGAAGCGCCCGCTTGATTGAGAAGCACCAGAATGAGCTGGCTCAGACTCAAGCTCAAGCTCAGGCTCAACCGCAGGCACAGGCGCAGGCGCTGGTGCAAGCCCAACAGAATAACAACCAGGGAGCCAATAATCAGGTACTGTTGCAGACCTCTACTGTCCTAAATAGGATAGAACTAGAGGACAGAGAACGGGACTAAGATAATTATAGGTACCGCAGCAGCAGCCTCAGCAGCAACAAGCTCAAGGGCAGGCCCAAGGACAAGTTCAGCAACAACCACTGCAACAACTACAGCAACAACTACAGCAGCAACTACAGCAGCAACTACAGCAGCAACCGCAACAGGACCAGCAACAGGACCAGCAACAGGACCAGCAACA